TATATATTAATTTTACCTCAGAAATTTAGGTGCGTTTCCCCTTTAAGACTCACCTGCGAGTTTTTCGGCGGGAAAATCCTCAGCTCGTGGGCTTCTGGAAGGTTCCAGGGCACTGCCTATAAAAGGAAATGTCGTGAGAGTAATGGTCACTCAGCTGGACTTCAACACAGCAAGCTCCCCACCCCCCTCGCTTTATTGAAGTATAATATATAGAAGCGAAAAAAGTTTGGTGATGCACAGATCCTCCCTTTCTGGAGGCCAACTCCTGGTTAAATTGTAATAAGAAAAGGACAGAAAAAGATGGGGTTTTTTGCTGGCTCCAGAAAGAACAAGTCCAATAACCTTCAGTCTCGAAAGTATATAAAAAGTATACATTTACTAGACAAATATATATTTTTTTAAAAAGCATTGGATATGCATGGAAAATGTAAAAGGACGTACACCAGCCCTGCACTGCACTGCCGTTGCCAGCCCAGCAGTGCAGGGCTGGCAATGGCCCCACCAACATCGGCGTTTCTAGGTGGAGGACCGTCCCACCAGCTGCCCTGACCCTTTCCATATTCTGGATCCCTCCTCACCACTGGACACCCTCTCAACCTAATCCCTGGGATTCCAGTCCCAGTCTGGTTGTGCCCTTTCCACCTTCCTCCACCCTGGGTACACATGCCCTTTGTCCGTTCCACGTCTGTGCCAAGCACTTTTTGACCTCACACTGAACAGACTACCTCCCTCCCCTCCTGATGAAGCGCCCCATGGTGCGAAACGCGTTGAGTCTACAAGCATTACTCCTCTAGCATTGCAAGCAATACATCACCCCTATAAGCATTGTTCTTTCCACCCGAGGTTTAACAACACAACCATATCCTCTGAGGTGTACGTCCTTTTACATTTTCCATGCATATCCAATGCTTTTAAAAAAAATATATATTTGTCTAATAAATTTATACTTTTTATATACTTTCGAGACTGAAGGCTATTGGACTTGTTCTTTCTGGAGCCAGCAAAAAACCCCATCTTTTTTTTTGTACTTTTTCTTATTATAAGTATAATATATGTCACAGGCCGTTTATGTGGTGGTGTCACCTCCAAAGGAGGGGGACTTTAAGTATGGTTATGGTAATTGGATATTGCTCGAGTTTTGATGACTGAGCAATCGGCGTTTTGGTTTTAAGAGTTATCGGTTGGACCATTTTATTCCAAGAAAAGATTGTTTGTTCTGTATTTTATTTGGGTTAATAGAAGGTACCGCATGCAATTCCATAGGCCATATCCGGTGACTATTGTGGTAAGCATTTAATAGGGTAACACCAATTTACTAAATACATACTACAGTAAATAATGGCAATGGCGGTCTGCCTAGTTCATACTAAGAGTGAAATTCTCTCATAGCAGTGTGTGACTTGTGAACCCTCTTTGCTATGGGTCATATAACACTAATGTTTCTGTGGTTATGTATGAGCCAAAGCATTTCCTCTGTCAAAGGCTTTTATTCAGCTTATTCTCTACAGAGCACTGTGATGCATACTGTGAATATGCAATAACCACACATAATGGGAAAGTTGGCTTTCATTTACTGAAGGCTTGTCTAAATACAAAAACAAAAATTCTATATACTGCAACCTACCAGATGAGGTGGCTGCATTAGCTTTCTTGTTTTCAGGCTTTGTTCCTTTATTTTCATGCGACGAGCGATATTGAGCGACGTGTCGCAACTTTTTCCTATTGGGCTGTATGCAATCAGGAGCAAAATCGCTCGAAAAAAGGGTCATGTAGGAGCGACAAGCTACCAGCGACGAGCTACAAGCGATATTGAGCGGCGAAATGTGAACAGCTCCCTTGAAATGGATTGGAGAAGCTACATAGAGCGATATCGCGTGAAAATATGAGCGATATCACTGAAAAAATCGCTCGATAAATCGCTCAGTGTGAATGGGGCCCAAATCGCGCGTTTGTCAGGACCCTTTGCCCCATTGAGAAGCATTGGAGAGCGATATTGCGCGGTAAATTGCCGCGATATCGCGGGAATTACCGCGCGATAAATCGCTCAATGTGAACGGGGCCTTAATGTACTGTCCATGCAGAAGAAGCGTTGTCACCCTAAGACAACAAGTATGTTAGGACTACAGTACTCTTTCTCCTCTCATCTCTTTTACCAAGAAATATATGTCTTGTACTTCACAGATGATGGCTTTGAAGGCTGATGACATTGATTGAGATTTCAGTTCAGTGTACAGGAAATAAAACAATAAGTGTATGGCCAGCTTCAGATGTGGTGGCTGCATTTGTTTTAGGCCAAGTACATTTTCTGTAAGTACATAAAAATACCGGTTGACCATGCTAGAATTACAGGGCCCTTGTATTCTTGTTCCTGAGAAAAAAACATTCTCAACATTTTTGAAGCTATTTTGTCCAGCAATTGCCCTTTTTGATAGTCAGAAGGCTTTTTTATATCAAAATACTAACAACAACATACACAAAATACTAACAGCAACATACAAAGCCATCTACAACTCCGCCCCAACCTACATCAATGATCTCTTACTTCCTCCAATAACTCAATCCAAACAATTATTACCTTTTGTATCACTTGCCCCTCCTACTAGATTGTAAGCTCTCACGAGCGGGGCCCTCCCAACCCTATTGTTCTGAAACGGTATTCTACTGTAAATTGTATTGTAACTGTACTGTCTCCACTATTTTGTAAAGCGCTGAGCAAATTATTGGCGCTAAATAAATCCTGTATAATAATATATGGCATTTTATTGTTAAAATATGCATAGTGAACTTTCATCATATGTACTGTAAATGCGCTTCCATTGACCGGGGATGTCTTAAAAAAAGTCTGTCTTGATACAATACAGATGTCTACACACAGATTGTGGAAGTAGGTGCTGACCTTAAATACAGTAATGCCTCAATAAAGATAACGCTATCCATCTGGAAAGAAAGGCCAATGAGGGCATTGGTGGTGGTGTATTGTAAACTCAGAGAGGCAATAAATACCATTACTTGCCATTAAAAAGTAAATCTGATACTAAGTCTGCTTTTATCTTAATATTTGTTTGCAGGTTCTTTAATGTATAAAATGCAATAGTTGTAATCTGTTTTTTTTTTATATGAGCGACATAACATAACAAGCGTCTCGTTTTTTGTCTTGTAGATTGCCTTCTTGACGGTGACTCTCTTTCCCATCCGTCTGTTTTTTGCTGCTTTTATGATGCTCCTTGCCTGGCCTTTTGCTTTTATTGCTGCTATGGGTCGTACGGGGAAAGAACTTGAGATGCCTATGTCTTGGTGGAGATGGTAAGTTTTAAGTTCTATATTTTGGGTTATTTTTCCTTTTAAACCAAAATGTCACAATGAAAACACATATGCCTGCATACTAAATCTGCACGTGTTGGGTTGCTTGCATTAGCAGCAGCTATGTGCATTCTATGGAGTTTGGTTATAGGTGTAAAATATTCCTCCCCACCCATGGTGACCGACCTTGTTTTTTTTTCTGTAACTTCCTGGACCTTGCGCTTCAGTTTGCCAGTGCACAGGCAAGACATTATTTCTTTCTAATAAACATGGCTTTCCTAGTGCAGGTTATGACTCCCCATTTTGAGTCCATGATGCAGACTAAACTGCTTGACTATGCAATGACTAAATTAAGCTAAATATTTTTTACTTAGCCAAGCCAAAAATATTTTTTAACCCTTTCGCTGCCAAGCCTTCTGGAACTCTTTTAACCTCAGCTGGTCACACCATTTTTGCAACTTTTACCATTGTTTTGATTTTCTACTGCGTTGCCAGCATCTGTGAAAGTCCACCAAATATCGGAGGTCTGAAGAGACCCCTGACATTGCCTTTTTGAAATAGAAATTGAGGACACAGAGTCCTCACTCTCTTTTTCTGCAGCCTCAGCACAGAGGCATCCAAATTATTCAAAAACTGATGATTTGTAAATATTTGTTATTAACCAGTTATGAATGTGTAGAAGACTGTCGTGATTCTGCAATCCCCAGCTGCCCCCTGCCTCCTCCTCTGCCCGCCCCGTTCCTCCTCCTCCTCTGCCCGCCCCGTTCCTCCTCTCCTCCTGCTCACAACAATCCGAGTAGGAGACGTTCAGCAACACCACCTCCTCCGGCTCCTTACAGATATGAAAGCCCCACAATTTCTCCACTTCAGGTGTCCTCATAAAGGAGGTCCAGAAAGCGACCAAAAATAGCTCAAAGGGAATAAATGGGGACATTCAAAGTGCAGTATGTCCAATAAAAAAACTTTATTAAAAGGTAAAAAATACTCACAAGAGTCAAAAAACAAATCACATATAATCACCGCTATGCTGCTTCTATGTAAAGACTGGGGTTTAGTGATCTCAATGTACACCCGCTCGTCTACGCGTTTTGCCATAGGATTTTGTCGGGACAGCGGAGGTGGTGCTGCTGAACGTCTCCCACCGGGATTGTTGAGAGGCAGGCCAACAATTGGATATACCCTAAGCGAGTTTACAAAGGCTATCTGGTGAGTGTGGACCTTTTCTGTTAATAAACGTGGAGCACTGAGACGCACTGAGACGCACGGAGCACTACAACTTCACATATGGACATATTGATTTTTGGAATACTTGGGGAGACCCCCAGAAGAGTTGGGGGACCCCGAAAACCACAGTGAGGAGAGAGGCAGCTGGCGGGGAGAGAGACGGCCGGCGGTGAGAGAAGCAGCCGATGGAGAGGGTACAGAAGGACCATGGACGGTGGCTGGCGGGGGCAAGTGACAAGCCGGCTGCTTATAAGTGATCTGTACAGCCGCCCAAGATCGCTTGTACAAAACGGCTGCCCTGCACTACATTTAAATGTACAAACAAAAACCAACTGTCCCAGGCGTCGGGCGATTGGAATCCCACACTCCTGTAGGGATAGCTATTTCAGGTGACTGCCAGCAAGTGCTTAAATCTCTTAGTAGAAAGGTATTTAAAGTTGTGCATGTAGCCTAGCCCTTAGTGCTGCCCAGTTATTAAGCCTCGCTTCACAGCTCACCTTTAGCCCCACAGAAATGTCAGTCAGATCAAAACTACCGAAAAAGTCCTGTGGATTGCTGCACCCAGCCCTATCTTGTCTTTCAGCTGTGTGTTATATGTATATATGTGTATATATGTATATATATATATGTGTGTATATATATATATATATGTGTATATAAAAAATATATTTTTTTTTTCCATATATAATTTAAATATATATATTTTATAGTTGAGCTGATAGTCACACACCATGTGGCTGCTGGAATCAAGTTCAAATTGCTTATGTTGCTGCTTTGTATTGCCACGAGCACAGCCACATTAGGTAATGTATGCACATTCAAAGCAGAACTATTTTTTTTTGCAAACGCAATTGCAAGTTAAAGTAGTTCATGCATGCACACCTGCAAAACTATGGGGTCTATTCACAAAGAAGCCGAAGGATCTAGCCGTAGCTTCGGCTGATCCTTCGGCCCCAGGACCCCTTCGGTTCAGTAGAACCGAAGGGCTGCTGTACGGGCTATTCACTATACACCCTGGCCAGGTCCAGGAAAACTAACGGAACAGTGTTGGATCGAGGGTAATCTGATTTAAATGGACACATGTCCATTTACGTCCAATTCCCCATAGACTGACATGGGTTCCGGTCATTTTATCTTGTTTCCTGAAAATCTGGAAGGGTATGGATGTCACAACAGTGACCCCCTCGTACTGGTCTGATCAGGAGGGAATCTTGCATTGATCTCCTTCTGATTGGACAGTATGAGGGGCCTAAGTAAGCAAGCAAATGTCAGAGTGTTTGCGTTAAACTTAAAGATACTTTAGTTCTGTTTAAGGGCCTGTTCACATGAGATCAGGTCCTGATCAGGTGCTGATCAGCAGACGTGGAGCTGCTGATGCAGTGCGTTTTTGACGCGTTTTTGATGCGTTTTCGGTCCGGATGCTGACAGTTAATTTTTTGTTAACATTGATGACATCATAATAAGTGGAGCAAGAATACAATTTTTTCTTTTTTTTCCCCCCCTTAGCTGCATTGCGTTGCGTTTCCGTTCCGTTTTCGTTGCGGTTCATGCGTTTCCGGACCTGACAAAATGTGACATGCAGTATTTTTTCTGTCGTAAGCTGAACGGACTGCGCAGGTGAGAACTGGAGCCCATAAAACACATAGGGATACATTGGGATGCATTTTGAGTGCAGCAGCGTACGGAGCCGGTCAGAACACAAAACGGACGTCGTGTGAACAGGCCCTTAAGATGTATGTTGGTTAAAGGAAAGCCAAAAGTGACTTTATTTTTTGAGAATAGAATAGTGCGACATTCTTGTTAAATCTGGCAGCATTGCAGACAGAGCATACGCCTTCACCCATGCTAACTTTAGCGTTATTCAAAACAATAAAATGACACTGTTTTCCTAACACCGTGGTTTTGTTTTATTGCCGAGCCTGCATTTAGCCACATTGTTATTTATTGTTCAACCTGCAAAACAGGTTGGAGGCCTGTGAAAAAAGCCAGATTACATGTTTCATCTTGAATGCGGATTTATACTATGGAGCTTATACACAACATGTTTTAAGACTGTAAAGGCATGCAGGCAAAGAAGCCTCGGAAGAAGCCTTTCTCCGGGGAAAAATAAATCCCCTTTCAGTGCGGCTGTCCCACTTGGGCAGTCCGTCTGCAGTCAGCGCTCATCTCATCCCTCTTACGCTTTGGCTTTTGGACTGTCCCTGGTCATCCTCACATATAATACAGGGCTATGGGCCCTGCATTGTACATGATGACATCAGCGTGCCCCTGACCGCTGGAGCATAGGGGAAAAGAGGCTGTGTGTGTTCAAGGGGCATCAGGGAAGTAAAAGTCTTTTACACAGGTACTGTAGACCTAAACGAGCAGTTAACCCTTGCAGTGAAGGGGTAGCCCCACTGCAAGGGGAGTTTTTTCCCAGGCGGTGAACTTTAACCAAAAAAAAAATTGCATTTGTTCCCTAACTCTGAGTGCTTTGATATTTATAACCCTGTGCAGATGTAATGTATTGGCTACGAGGAAATGGAATGAACACATTAGTAGCAATGTGGTATAGTTATTTAAAAAAATTAAAACAATGCAAGTAAAACAAATAAAACACTTAGTTTTCAAAATAAATACCATGTTCTGTTTCCTTTGATGCTTTCTCATATGTACTTCCTGGAAAGTTTTTGTAGTCAATGCACATAAAATGTAGCATGCCAAGATGCTGGAGTGATCTTTAATATCTGCAGATTACATTAAAACCACTCTGGTCACTGGCTATAGTAATTATAGATTGCAAGGACCCCACTAAGCTTAATAGATTAAAAGCATGTCTGCGGAGATCAAACACAGACATTTCCCAGCGCACTCACCAGCCAGCCTGCAAAAAAAAAATACACTAACTACTAAGGTTAAAAACAGGTTTTAGTTCCACAACATTTGCAGAATATGTGGAAGCCACACTACCTCGTCAAGGCCCCTCTGTATAGTGCAGTCCTAATTCTAATCTATGAGAGCCTCCATCCTGGAGCATATTTATACCAGAGGTTAAATTGGGTACAGGGTCGCCAGTAGCCTCAGAGGGTCCTTGATGAGGCAGCGCGGCTTCCAAATATTTTACAAAAGTTGTGCAACTAAAACCTCTGTTTTTAATCTCGGTAGTTAGACACTTCTTTTGCTGGCTGCCTGGTGAGTGTGCTGGGAATTGTGTGTTGTTGTACTGTATAAAGCCCTTCCATGTGCACCTTGTTTTAAAGCCAGTTATCAATTGAAGAGTGTGTTTGCCATTCATTTCACTTTTGTATGGAGATAAGACTTCCATGCAACTCCATAAAATGTTACACCTGAACAGGATTCAGAAAATTCTCCGAAGTTACCACCATGGGTTGTCTATTTCTTGTCTCGGAGACACAATAGGAAGTTAAAGGAAATCTCTATAAAACCTGGGGAATTCTACTCTGGGAGCAGCGAGAATAGGGTTGACTTGCCTTGCTGTGCCTGTGTAGTTGTGGAGACACACACAGCTTACTAGCACACAAGGGTGGACCCATAGAACCCTGCAAGGTGAAGGAGCCACTCTAAAACAGGATATTAGGACCAGTGCTCCAATTACCAGCTGATTGTGCAGGAAACTAAAACTTTTAAGCATCAAGGAGCGTCATCCACTGTAAGTTGATTTAATTAGCATTTGAAAAAGCTTGAAATCTTTTGACTTTAATTTTTAGCTTTATTTTTTTTATAACTTCTTTAGCTGTTCCATGCTTTAATTTTATTATTTTTTAAGTAATGGGAGATCA